CCGACTCCCAATGATAGGCCGATAAGAGAAATGAATAACTAATTTCAATATCCAACATATAAGAATTCAAACTAGGGTGTCTAAACCTCAAACTCGAGCAATAAAACCTTCACCAAGTAATTAAAATGCTAATATACATGCAAGTATTAGCAAATAGAATTCAATCAATAACGAAACTACCAAGGAAATCTTCGGGCTGCTATAACTGCCCTTCCGGAGAAATACAAATTTTTACAATGTCAATCTCTTTCATTGGTTAGCTTTATATAAAATCACATAGATCACAAGACCACCTTTGAATTTGTTCCTTCCCTCAAAGAACTTGACTCGCTTCTCGCGACAGGGAGGGCTGGTAACCTTTCAGGGGATTCCCTTTTCCAGGTTTTCTTTACTGCTTTCTTTATGCTAGCCTAGACTCTACCATGTAGCAAAAAATGAACAAAAATCTGGAAGGTCAATGTTCAAAAGTGTGCGATTTGACATGAAACAGTGTGGTATTTTATCAAAGCCTGCTCTTTTTAATAAATTTCCTTTTTTGTTTCCCTTTTATCAGAAATTTTGTCTGCTTTAAGAATATTAGAAGGTTTGTTCAAACTATTATTAACAACCGTACCGTAACACTCTGTGCTGATGAACAGTTAGTATAACTAAAGTCAACAGATTTTTAATTCACTATTTAAGTATTCTTTGAAAACTTTCTACTGACTTCTAAAATAAAACAACTGTAAAAAAAAAGCAAAAAAAGTTCGGCTAAATAGCACAAATAAGACTTTTAGTTAACAACAATAGCTGCTTGAGAAATAAGCAATTTAAGTGGAAAATTTAGATATTTTGATGAATGATCTTCTGCTCAATGAAAATGCAGTATTTTCTTTGAAAACGGACATTTTGTCAACGAACATGTAGTAAAATCTAGAAAATAAGCAATAGAGCTCTAATAAACGATACTTAAATAAACAAAGAATCTGCTTTAATAGTTGTGCGAAACTCAGCTAAATTTCCTGTGACAACTGCCCAGCAGCAATCGTAGTTTTATATATTTCAATTAAAAGTAAATTTTTAATAGGTTGGGAATAGAACCAACAACCAATGTGCTATATTGCTGACTCACAATGACCTGATCCAAATGACAGCTCCACACTGGCCCATTTTAAGTCATATCTGAACGTTTTTGTGTGGTTAGGTAAAGAAAAGAAAGGGGAAGAAAGCTTCTTAGGCTTCATCCGCTTCACTTACTTTCCTCTTTTCTTTACCTGCATTCTAACGAGAGACATTCGCTGTTTCTTCTGCTCTTTCCCTCCTTTCACGAGAAAGGCACTCTCCGGTTGTCTTGCATTGGAGAAGACCATCTGACACCAATCAGTTAGGTAAACCAACAACCAGTTTCATTTTTTTTCGAGTCCAGAAGAAAACTTGATAAATGCCAACACTATTCGTATTTCCTATGTAACATTGTGCAACCAACCCTAGAAGGGTTGCATTGGCTGTGCACCAGAGAAGTGAGTAGGTATCTCTCACCGATATCAGTGAGATATACATGCTGTATCTGGCATCCACATACTGTACAAAAAGCAGGCTTTTGATTAGCATCATTCCCTCCAGCCAATCAGTGTGGTGGGGCCACCAGTCTACATGAGAGCCACTTTGTCATTGTAAGGGTTTGCCTGCTGGATTTTTTGCGGAAATGTTCATAAGCTTCAATTGATTGGAGAGGTTCACTATACTATTTAACGTTTAAATATTTCAATATGAAGTCAACGGTAGATTATCATATCTGTAACCTCGCCATTCAACGATATGAAGAGGTTTTTTCATTTGAGAATTATTTAATTAACTCAGTTTTTATGCTAATATCCCAAGTGTTTGCTGATAATTTTCCTCTAGATAATTTGCCAGTACTGTTGTGTCTTCAACTGGGAGCTTTGTTTCTGATACTTTTTCCTTTTTTTCTCATTATTTTAGTGTTATTTATTGTCGCTTAAAAAAATTTTCTGCTATAACTAAAAAACAGTTTTGAGTTATCTAATGAAGGTAACAATAAAAACATAAAAAAAAGGTTTTT